AGATTGCCTCGGAAACAGCGTCAGCATGAATCTTCCAGTAAAGCCACTCGACAGCTGGTCAAGAGGAATCGGCCATCGTCTTCTGGTGGAACCGACCTTCGACTCTCTTCAATCAACACTTCCACTCAAAATGGAAGTAAGCTCAACAGTAATGATGATATCCTGCTCTGAAGATGTCCCGCACGCAGCAACTGAAAGCTTAGCACGTGTTCCCCGAAATCGGAAGCAATCGCCTCGGAAGCAGTTTCAACAGGAATATTCCAATAAAGCCAATCGACAACCGGTCGTCTTCTGGTGGTATACACCTTCGAGTCTCTTCATCAAACAGTCTCGCCGGAAATGGAAATGAGCGCAACATGAATACGAGTAACTGGCCCCCCAAGAGAGAGATGCCGAAAGCCAGGATGGCCTGGATGGAGAGCCTCCAGACGTGGTACTTCTGAGCATTTGAACCTTTGTATTACAGGCAGCAGATACAGCCCATTCTCGATAATGATCATGCGCTGGCAACGAGGAAAAAAGTGTCAGACGAGGCTGTACTCGATAGTGCAGTTTGGGGGCATGAAAGAAAGCAATCACAATGAAGCCTTCAAATGTGCATTGGTAGAAATAGACATGCCTTTTACAGGAGAAGAGGTACATTTGTAATATAAAATACATCGAAAAGTCAACCTGATTCATTTTGATTTGCCCAGAAAGACAACTTCTCGTCCAAATCCAAAGAGCTCGAGTCTGACGGAGAATGTTGACTGGCATGCAGAACGGCATTGACGAGAGTCTGGAGCAACAGATCAGGAGGCCACGGCTCACCTGGGTCGGAAGAATCGGGGTCGGTACCGGCTGTGCCTGCTGCCTCGGTCGGGCAAAAGGGTTAGGCAGAGTGAAGAAGAGCCGAGCATTGCAGAGGTGCCGAAAAAACCAATGAGCAAAAAGAACGATTATACTCGATACTATTTGAGAACGATCAGATTGTGATAAATGGGTAGAAGATATTCGTAAATTGGCCCCACCAACTACCTGTAGCCACTTGCGATTGTGGAGTTGAGCGGTGCCAATGAATCCTTGTCGATATTTTGTCTGTACCGACCTGACAGACATCGTTAGAGTGTAAATCGGTGCTCTACGAAACTGCAACAATCGACTGAACCAAGAAAAGTGTCCGGTTGCAATCATAGCTACTATAACCCCCTAATAAAGTATCACACTAGAAGAAACATGTACCGAGGGCATCTTCAAAAAAACAAATCAACAGTCACAACAGCACAAAAGCAATCATCTAAAGCCTAACTATAAGCGAAAAATAAGTAATACAGTCGATTACTATGACAGATACAATGTTGCTTCATCGACAATCCTACGACAAAATGTGAAATGGGAAATAAGTAATGCCATCCTTTAAAATCACAGCTTCCCTGTCACCCAAGGGCACTTATGGCAATGGTGGCGTAGTGCCGAGATTATACATTGGACTATCTCAACCCGGGTTCGAGTCCTGCTGAGGGTGCTGAAGAGAGCTAGGCAAGGTGGAAACTGTAGTCCACTTCGGACTGGAATAAGTGTTTACTGGGCGACATAAAAGACTATCAGCAATTTTAGCGTTTCTTTAATACCTCGTTATATCGGCATGGTAAAGTTTGCAATAGAAGTGTCGGATACAAGTCTAAAATAAATCTTAAAAACGTATTCTTTCCAAATATGCTAATACAGATAGTGTAGCCCCCGTTTTAGTTGCACTCTTCATGCGCTGTATGGAAATGGTCTGATCTCGTTTTCGCAACTTGGTCGGGTTGTCATGGCGACAAGTTGGACGCCATTTCCCCAAAGTCCTCTGCTGCGGTACTTTTAATAATTGCCAGCGTCGGACCGTGGATTTGGTACATTGCCAGACATCTCGCCAGCATCGTAGTCAGCATTTTTATACTTATTATTTGTTACATTTACATGACGTAACTCAACAAATTATTGCTTTTAATATCTCTAGTGTTTGGAATTCTTACGTATTATATTAAAATATAAATTTAATAATCAAGTCATAAGTAAGATGGTGTGATCTTCTTTAGCTTTATAGTGTTAGTTCAATTTCGTTTTCGCCTTGTGGAAGGTACGCAGTCGTTGGTACATCCCCAAACGTTTCGCCGGCATCTTCGACAAAGTGGCAACTTGTCAAAAGCGGCAAATGCAGGCACCCCGCTTGACCCATTTTTAGTTCATCACTCCTCACCCCTATTATTAATCCTACCTTCTAGTGCTGTATTTCTTTCTTGCTTTTAACCCCATTTCCTATTTACCCCCCCTTTGCCTATTCACACAATTCTGTGCTCTTATTTCCTCCAATGTCGCCGAAGCGTGTGTGGCTACAAGTGGGTTAAGTGAAGCGTAATCATCTTAGTGTAACAGTTTCCAGCAGAACAGTTGTCGAGGGATTGACTTCACTTGTCTCTTTGACGAGTTCGTAGGTTGGTGCGGAGAATGGCAAAACTCACTGATGATGTCGACTATGTTTGAGAATGTACCAAGTCCACTGTCTGGTGCTGGGAG